AAAATTAATGGAAAAATTCCCACTGTTTCGGGGGGGTGTTGGTCTAGACTTGCAATGGACAGGTTCTTCATGCTCAGGAGCCATCTTTATTTCCAACCAAGTGTCTTAGAGTCAGACAGGCGCAACCACCTCTGCGCAACCACCGCACCTGACCCAACGCATCCTGCTTGTTTTGAAAGCCAGATCTAATCCCTAGGCCACAAGTGAAGTCGTCCTTTGGAACAGAGCAATCAAAAGTTGTAAAGCTCCTAAAAATGATACTTTTTCTGGATTAGCCGCTTGGCTACATTGTGTATATTACATTTCCATCTTTCTTGTCATATTAAAGTGAACATTCTTTATTGCCTATGTTATGAAGTATCTTGTAGTACACATACAGGGTGAGAAATATAGCTGAATTAGCCTTACAAAATCAACTTTAATATTGACAGATTTCCAAGGTTGCTTTTTTGGTTGATGACTATTTGGTTTTTTCATTTTTGGTGGATAGAGTACTGTTTTCTACACCTAGTCTCTTTTTTTCAGCTGAGTGCATTTTGTATGCTGTAAAAAATGTTTGTCTTTTTATTCTTTTTCATGTATTCTGTTTTCTCCCAGTCCTGCAGTAGCTACTTGGTTTGGTGTTTATTTCATGTAGCAGAAAATACCTATCACAGAAATGCAAAGGCAGCCTGACAGCAAGCTTCTCTTTGGGCATGTTGACATCATCCTCTTCTCTGAGCTCTAATTCAACTTTCAACACAATGCCTAAAACCGCACTGCCTCTGGGCACAAAAGATGAACACGAGAGTACACTTGTGCATTCTGTTGCCCTGTAAGCAAATTGCCTTGTTAATGAGGAATCAGCCAAATAATGGGTTTGATAGTCTGTGTTTAGATTAGGTAAGGTAATGTACAAAACTGGTTTTTGGTGTATCACAGACAGCAGCACATCCTGTTCAAAGTTCAGGGCTATGAAAGTCATTGACTAATTCTTCAACATCACTCACAAGAAAAGACAAGATACAGCTATTTCATGTGTAATAACTAGTCTTTGGAAAAAATGAGGAAGCTAGGATTTTTTAACTTCACTGACAGGCCAAACCGGAGCTGCACTTTGCAAAGTGTATATATACCTCATAAAAGATAACTCCTCCTTTCCATTGTCTGTCTATATTTACATGGACTATGCCTGGAAAGAGGCGAGGAGAATGCCATTGCTTTCATGTAATAGTTAAGGAAAAGAAACTCTATTGGTATGTGCAAACGATGTTTGTGGGGCAAACGTTGCTTCCCCTGCTCAGGATAACAAATCAGTGCATGCACACAGAGAACCCCGGCAGATTGGGTAACATGCTCTGCATCGCTGCTTCGTGCTATCTTGTTCGAGTAGTCATACATGTAATGAATTTTATCTAAACTCTCTTCCAGTAAGTTGCAAGCTAACCAACAGCCTTTTTACTTCTGAATGCTCCAAACCCACAATGTAGTTGGTTGTGTGCCTGAGCTCTGCATTTCAGCAGCTGGAACCTGATGGAAGAGAGGAGGGAAAAAGCATCCATATTTCTATAGTTTTCCTTTCCAAGCTAAATAGCTTGGATGAGAGAAGAGGCAAGATAACGGAATCACTCGGACAATCTGTTCTTGCAAATGATGGGGTTGAGAGGTTAAAAGATTTTTACAAATAAACAATAAAGAAACCCCAAGTATTAGTTTATGTGTTTGACAGGAAGGCTGTAATTCTGTTGTGCTCTGTACCACATAAAATATTAAAATACGGAAATTTTATGTTATCTGTCCTTCTCTTGTAGAACTAGTACATTCTCTTCTTATCATTATGTCTCATCTGGTACATTATTCAAACTCAAGCCAAAGTATGGTTCCACCACTTGAGATATCACATAAACAAAAACAATGTGAAGAAGCTCATAATAAACACATCACAGAAAACTGTTTCTTGGCCTTCTAAAATTTTGCTTGCTTTGCTTTGACAGGTCAAAGAGCCCAGCAAACCTGCTTGACCAGCTTCCTCAGTGGGACACAATCTGTCTCCTGCAGGCAGCCCTTTGTCATCCTCAGCACATTTTCTGTAGTGGTGGATGCATCTGGGCAGTGATGGGACTCGTGTCTTTGTAATCCAGAAATCAATCAATCAGCACTATCCTATCTGCTGGGCATAAGAGACCTGCCTATGCTGTGGACCCACAGTCTGTTGCATACTGCTTTTGAATTTCCCTCGTTCTGACAGAAGAATGATTCGGTGTTGGCACACATGGTGAGTCAGCTTCAGGGCTGTTATAACCTGTAATAGTTGGTGACAGCTTCCAAGACACTGGTATGTCAGGCCAAAGACAGCTGGTTGGCGGCAGTCCTGGCCATACTTGCTCTTCTACTGACTTCACATGCTCTATAGTTATGACATGGACAGCGGAAAGTGGTTTCATAAAATCTGTGCCTGTAGGGAACTTTGTATTTCACAGAAATACCCATACAATCACCAGATTTTTATTTCACAGTGAAAGGACAGGAAAAGGATCTCATCTTAGCCGTTTAGGATAATTTGTTTTAAATAGACTAAGTAAAAACCCTAGCCATTCTCTCTAACAGTCTTTTTAAAAGTGGTTATTTTCTTTAATGCAGTTGCCCTCAGAGACTCATCACTGCATGTACTGTAGTTTGAATGAGAAATATGCTGCTCTCAAGACTGAGTCTAAGCAGAACTGTTCTTTGATAAACTAATCTTTGTAAAATCCACCGTGCTGCTGTGTTTAACAGAGCCAGGAGCTAGCTATTAGTTCTCTTTTTCATTTTGTTCTCTTTCAATAGACTATTTAGAGTACAGCATGCTGAAAAAATAGGAATGGGGCTCCCCAAGAGATATTAGTTATAGCTGTATTCTTCCTCTTGCCAGAAACGCAAACCACACAATCCTTACAGCAATCAGCATGAAACACAACATGTTAAATCCCTCATTTCTTTAGCATAATATGAAGTCTCTCTTTCTCTCATATTACCATTCTGGTCAGTCAGGTATGTGAGGTTTTTCTAGGCAACAGGTGTTTTTTGAAATAAAATACAACCTTCCCTTCAGCTCATTATGTGAAAGAGACAGCAGCTGCAAGTATAATGCTGAGGACACATGGTCTGTAAGACACCCAGAAGAAAAATACTCCTTGTTCCACTTGTTAAGGTAAAGCACAGATGTTGCTTCAGTGATAAGCACGAGCATAAGGCAACCACAGTCTGCTTCATGTTGTAAATTCAGAATCTAAGATTTCAGAATATTTAATAGGCTGCAATCAGAATCACTGGTTTCTTTATGTAAGGGAAAGTTGCTTATGTCTAATCTCATAGTCCTAACAAATACTCCTTATCACAGTTTGCATTACACTATCATCAACAACATGCTAGGGACTATCCACAGACTTGGCAGATAAATTATTAATAATCTTTCATATGGACTCAATGATGAGTATCAAATAGTGACAAATGCATAAATTAATACACTTACTGATTTAAACATTTACAGATAGTGTATATTAAAAAGGTTTTAGTAATTTAGAATGTTAAATGCCATTCTTTTCCCTGCTTCGTGTTGAAACAAAGGCTATTTCTGTATCACTCAGATCTAGACTGTTCAGAAATCAACTGCAAAATAATGGTTTCTAATGAATGTAATGACCAAAGCTAGAACAGATCCTTTCCAGGGAGCAATTCTCTGTTCAGTTAGGTCGATAATTCCCCCTCCCCCTGCCCCCAGTTTATTAATTTTTCCTTAATTTCTTTTAAGAACAAAGTCCATATATAGGAGCTTATAGTATAACTGTTAAGGTGAAAAGGCTTTTTCAAATAAAAAGGAAGCGCAGCATTTCCTTAGAAACACCAAGTCCTCTAGAATTGCCCGATCTCCTTACTCCCTCCAGTTTTCTAGGCCTAACTAGGTCAGAAACTCTACCGTACCAACAAGAACATATAACACCACAGAGAAAGCCCAGTTCACAGAATAATCCCAGAGCTTTTGCTCTGGGAGTAGCCTGGTTACATTGGCTGTCTTGCAAAATGCTTATGCTGGCCTTGCAGGATAAATCCCAGTAGCTTGTAGGACTGCATGTTTTTCTGGCGACAGTGTTTGTTACGTAGAGCAACGGCTGCAATGAATTGGGAAGTGTACACATGGAAAAAGGCCTGATGGCACGGATCTACTAGGAAAAGTCAAAAGCTTCACATTCCTTCAGATCCAGCTCAAACTGACCCAGGCTCTTTTGTGTGTGTATTGTGGCGGTTTCTCCCCCCAAAATCTATATTGGTAAGCTGTTGGTAAGTCCATCCTTTGTCATTCTATCACTACCAGTTTTAGAGAAGACAGGCTTAAAAAATAAAATGAAACAAACAAGATTTGATCATAAGATATTACAAGGTTACAAAGTAATTTCATAATGAAAATGATAGCATAGTACTTCCTTGCAATGACATATGTGGTAAAAAAGGGTCATTTAAATGGCTGACATCATACTCATTTTTTAGTATGCTGTGCTGTTCCAAATGAAAGAGATGTGAGTAATAAAAACAAACAATCAAAAGTACAAAATCTCTACATTAATTGGAATGATGATACATGCGCTTAGAAGACAACCACAAGAAGTTGTCACTGCTCGGACCCACCTATTGTTTGCTACTCATTTCTTGACTCTTGTTCTTAATTGTGTTCCTCTTGTGCAAAGGGCTTACTTTCCAATTCAAATTGCTTGTGACTAAGAATATTTATGTATTTTGCATACTATGGGCTTCAACCTTTGATGCTGCAGAAGAGGAGCAGTCTCTTCTTAGGAATCCATATAGCCTTTTGCCCTTCCTGAACCAACTGTCCTCAGTGCGTTATGCCAGGTTATTACTACTACATGAACTAATAATTCAGAGTACTGCTATTAAGATTCTCCTCTACTCAGCAATCAAGGCTGATGGCACAGATTCCAAGACTTTTACGCTTATATCAGGGGGAGACAATTTAAGTAAATACTCACATGTGTCTTCACGTCACCTTCAAGAATCTTGCTGTACCTGAGAAACTCGGCAACACTTCCATTCAGCAGCCTATCAAAGGCTTCAACATACGGTGCTATGCCTATAGAAGAAGAGCATTCCATTATAGTGGGTTCATAAAATACATAATGCATAAGACATTCCTTTGTAGCAGATGGAGGAGAAATACCATAGAAACGGGAAATCGCTGTAACTTAACTTCTGCCATACTCATTGATTTGTGAAATTAGTGAAAAATGATGTATAATTATTTTTTTCTAGCTAGAAAGAAAAAACCCTCCTCTTGGTAGAACTTTGCTGGGAACATGAAGAGAATTTACTCCATGGCGGGAAGCCTCTTTTGTCTTAAAATAACAGGTGCTCAAATAAACAGTTCTCAGCCCTTCAGAGGCCTAGTGGTCTTATAAGCATGATTGTCTCAACAAAATTCTACTGTTGCACATAAACCAAATATTATCCCCTAAAAAGAATCTGCACTATACTGAACAACTGTTTTTATACCACCCACCCATTCCTGAGGATCTTTGTATTGTTTGGTGGCTTTTAATACCAAGCAACTCAATTTCCAGTAAGATAGAATCTTTAGAATGGGTCGACAGTGGATTTATGCAGTGAGATGTGGCTTTGTCATCTCCTTATTTTGTTGTCTGACCTTGCAAAACTGTCACTGAATAAAGAAAGCTCTAACGAGTCTTCTAGATGACACATCCCACGATTATATATATGCTATACATTCTAATGGTGGAATACAAATGCTATTTTCTATAAGCTATACAGAGCAGTTTCCTGATAAAGTGGATTATCAGAAAATGCAGATGAGACTCAGTTTCTTACTCACCTGGCTTCTAAATGGCTTTATGGGTACCTTTTAAGACAGCAAAAGTAATCTTTCCTTGGATGCTTTCCAGCCCTCCCTTTACTCCCTGACATTTCCTCATGTCTTGTCTATGCCTCAGAACCTTTGCCAGGTCCAACATGAGCGATGCACGTGTGAATTTATGGCATCTGTAGGATCTGAGAGACCAAGGTTAAAATTCTTCCCAGCCTCTCTCCCTCATTAATGAAGCCTGAAGATTGCTCTGAAGAGGTACCAGGCTTTCCCCACAGAGTTCACTTTAACCTTTTGGCACTATATGACAATTGTGTCCAAATTCATAATCTTGAAAGCTCTCTTTATTCCACAAGAGTCATCTGGCTCTTTGACAGAATAAAGAAAGGCTCTGGCAATTGGAGTTTGCAATGGCCTGTGTGAAAAAATAATGTAGTTAGTCAGCTAGGCGGGATTTCAAGACTCCTTTTGTTCTCTTGATGTCACTCACCTTTAATTCTGAGGAATTTCTGGGCTTTCTTCCATATTAAGTGTTTGTGTGTAAACCCCTCAAATGACTGAGCATACAAAAGGTTTTAGTTGTGGAGATGCTTTCCAAAGCCCATTTATGTCCTTTGTCAAAATCTATGTATGTCTCCAAGAGAATCATTGTAACCTTTTCCTTTAGAGCAGAGTTTTAAATAGCAGTTCACCAAATGGCAATTGTCCTGTGCAAAGCTAGAATCAGCTATGCTGGTTTTTTACTATTCTATACAGCTAACTCCCAGGGCATTTACTAGAATTTGCTGTGGGCCATGCAGAGCAATTGAATGATTTGTTTGCAATCCTGCCATTGTAATGCCATTTAGGAAAAGGTACAGTTCTCCCATCCTCATTATTTTGTTCTTTTTGAAAAAGTATTAATTGAAAAGTGAAGGTTATTTTTTGTAATAATTCTAATTATGGAATGGTCTTTTAGGGGAGGGGGTCATGGTAGAAGAAAGCAATATATCTCCATTTCCACGAGACTTAAAAAAGGTCACACTCTGGCTGAGTGTCAGTTTTAAAGGAGAAAAAGCAAGAGAGACCTGTTCTGTAAGACTGTCGACCCTGCAGCTGCTGTGGAGGTTATGTGAACCTCTGCAGAAGCACAGTAACACAGGCAAACACAACGATGTTTGTGGCACTATATGCGCATCAGTCGCCCAAACTGAAGAACCGGTACGGTCTTTCCTAACTGCATAAGCAAAAGCTAATTCCCGAGTCTCCACGTGAGGCAGCTCTGCCTGGGGACATGGTGCAGGCTGGCAAGTGCCCGTGGTGCTGCTCATGTCAGCTTCTTACCGCAGTCTCCCAGTGGGTGTGCTTTATAATCTCCCTCCAACAAGGTTTCTCAGCTGGTTTCTTCTACGGATCTGTTGGGGTTTTAAGGCTCTGCTTCCCTGGGGGGTGGGGGGGTGGGGTGTGCGGATCTTTGAATCTTTTTACCTGACTAAGCTCTTAGGTTAGGCTAAGGATACAGCAATTTTCATGGAAGTACCTCACATGGTGAGTTCATCTCCTGTTCTGAAAGCAGCCCTGGTTCTGCAGTACTGAGGTCTGGATTAATACAGAGATTCACCTAAATGGATTCATTATAGGATTGACGCCTGTATTTTTAAAAAATGTGGATTTCCTAGAGTGATTGATTTATTTGCCAGTTTGTACAGGGATCGTGTTTCTCCGTGAATTTGCCACGATTTACTAGCTGTCTAGGTTTTCTCTGGACTGTAAGCATTTTATTACTGAAGCTTACTGTGACTGCTACCGCATCTGCTATGGAAGCCTGCTGGAAGACGCTCCCTTCCTGCCATAGAAACACGCTGCTTTCAGGCAGCTGCTCCGCAGCAGCTGCCAGCGTGTAGGTCCACGGCACCGGGGAAGGTCTCCCGCATGTGTTGTTGGGTAAGGGCTGGCATACAGGGACAATAAAGCAGCTGACATATACACTGATTCGCTTCTGTGTAAGGAAAGGAAGCTGCCTGCAACGTTCTGCTTGTTCTGCAGCTTCTGTACAGTGAGTCCGTGCTGGGATGTGCTCTTCTCTGGAGAACGCGGGAAAGGGGCAAGGCACACAGAAAGCAAAGGACGTAAAGCTAAAAAAGGGATATTTGTCAGGGTTCTGGGTGAAAAAACAAGCTCTGGAGAAAGGAAAGGGCACCTCTATTCAATCAACATCAAGACTGCCACATTTATAAGGTTATTTACCCTGTAAATTTCAGGAACAACAAAAAAATTTAGGAGTGAAAAAATATGATTTGGTGATATGCTGTAAATAAATGAAGATAAGATTTTTTTAGTGTATTCTCTAATGTAGTGCTTTGGAGATCCACTTGAGAAGGGAGAGCTCAAGTGATAACAACATGAGGCCATGGATATGTGGCAGGCCTTAGTGAGCAAATGCCTATAACAAACTCATATTGGATTAAGGTTATTAACAATTAAATGAAGTACGTCCGCACTGCAAAATTCAGAGATCAGGCAAATAAACTCAATGTTCATATTGCTGACTTCTACAAGAATATTTATGCTGTAAATTTTGGGGATGTCTCATTTCTTCTGCTAATTGGGCTCGAGCAGACATTTTCATCTGAGGAGTTATCTAAAACAATATAAATGCTCAAATGGAAAGAGAGATACAGCTTGAAATATGGACAGTGTATTTAAGAGACTAGTCAAATCTAGTCTTGACTAGGCTATATTAATTTAGAATTGTGAATCCGACTAAGCTTGTCACATGACATTTCTAAATTAATTTTTAAAAATACTACTTTATTTTGATACAGAATTCGTAAGGGGTGGAAGTGCACCCCCTCTTAGAAGACAAACACATGCGCTACTTGCAATTTTTTAATAACAGAGATGGTACTTCAAAAAAACAGACTTACTTCCATTTACTCCGTTGATGGCATCACACTCCATTCCGCCAGATCCATGTGAATCTGAAAACAATGATTCAAGTCGAGTCACTGCTTTCTCCAGTCTCTCCATCAAACCATGAGTCTCTGCCATTCTGGAAAAATCATTAAGGACAGAAACACTGTTATACCCCTCTGAGTAAAGCCCATGCTTTACTTCATGTTACAGTTCTGTTCATCCTGTAGCCTTATCTTTTCTCAGCTTTTATGGTAAAACTTGTATTTTTTAAGTATTGTCTCTTTCTGGCATATAAGCAGTTGCAGAGAAGCAGCTGACATACAGTAACTTGCTGCTTTGTCAACAAGGAATATGATCAGTACTCAGCCCTGGTTTTTCATTGTAAACAGCAGATTCAAACCACTGCTAGCATAGCTTTGGACAGTCTATATGTAGACAATTTATGACAAATATATGTGTATGCTCCCAATCAGATACCGAGATGACTGAAATATTGGTAAATATAATTGGTAAAAACTTCTGCCCAGAATGATTTGCATCAGCCATTTACAGAGGCAAAATTACAGACCCAATTAATACTTCACTGAAAGCCAGACTTTAAATGTATATCTCCTGATTTTTGTAAAAGGCACAAATTTGCCTCAGTCTTTTATGTTTTGTAGTAAGCCTCAGCCACTTTATTGAAGACTACACAAGAAGTCAAGAAGGTCTTCTGTTTATTCTTCTGATATGATTTTCCATCACTTAATTTTTTTCTTGTGAAAGTACCTGACGTGAATCAGTGTTTCCCAAGCTTTTTAAATCAAGCACTAATTAACCTTTGGAAAGGAAAAAAAAATAAAATCCAGGGGCCTGCTTGTGCAGTACTGCTACAGTGCTTTTGATTTAAAATTAAATAGAAATTAGGTTAAATTTTTAACAACTTTCCCCACAATGTGATTATCTGCTTTCTTACATGTGAGGAAGTGTAGGCATTGACATCTTTGAATACCGGCCAATGTCTCAGGGAACAGAGTGCTATATACACCGCAGACCGAGAAACAGTTATATAAGCAAAGACAAAGCTATGTTTAAATCCCCCATCATTTAATGTAACAAGTTTAATGTACATGTTCCTCACTTAAGATTGTGAGTGTTCTATTCCTCTAAGTGACATACAGCAAGATGCGGGGGGGTAGGGGGTGATGTACGGTTCTTGATTAACACGATCCTTGCCAACAGTTCCAGCTCCGCTCGCGCACGAGGGCTATCATCTCCCCTGCCCAGCACTGGGGTGTGCAGAAGTAGGGGCAACTGGGGGATTCACATCCCCAGCTGGGGGAAGCAGGTAGCCACCGGCTCTCGGGGGTCCCTACCCTCTGGCGCTCTGCCACAAGACATTCGTTGCTGTATGGCTTATAGACTGGAAAGGTTAGGTGTACCTGGAATGTATGTGTAAATGTATTAGTTCCTAATGAACAACCTGCTAAAAGTGCTAGTATTTTAGATACCAAAGCATAAGCAGAGTCCAATAAACTGTGCAATACTATGCAAGACTAGCAACCAAAACAATGTTGCTTCAGTGTCCCCATACCCAGGGGAGAATGCCTAAATGTTATAATTTAAAGTAACATGAAAAAAAGGGGGTTGATTACAAATTAGTATCAAAAATTCTTACAGATAAAAATAATAATAGTATTTTTATTTTTAAAATTTAAGTGCAAGAAAAGATTAGCTACTAGGACTATGGAAACACATGCAGAGATCTTGTGCTGAGTCATGTTGCCTGTCAAACAAGGTGGGACCTTCAGACTTTACCCTATAAATATAATGAGGTTTGTGTTTGACCTAAAAGTGAAGCATAAGATTTTACAGTGAGAAACCCTTGGGAGAACCATTCTCATGAGAAAGTTTTGTCTGGAGTTTATGGGTTTTTCCTATTTACATTAAATAAAACAGCAAACCCCTAAAAGAGTTTGATATTAGATAGTGTGCATATAAACACTGTCAAAATTCAAAGGGGGTCTCTTTGCTTATACTGAAAATGCACGCTATTCTGTTTGAAAAATCACTTAATTTTTCAAAAAAAAACTCCGTAACTTTTTGTAATGTTACAAGTATCTTGGCAGGAATGAGATTAAGATATCAGGAGAGCCTCTGAAATGTTCAAACTTTTGTGAGAATATTGATCCTTCTCCTAAAGCAAAGCAATGTTGATCCTCAAAAATATTATGGACATATTCTTTTCACATTTTACACTGCTACATAAGAGCCTAAACTGGTGTCTGTTTTAAAAGTTATATTTTAAACCAGTCTAAAGTCAGGCTGGTCTAACATAGCATATTAACAGTCAATTCATCAGTATTTTAAAGTATATTTCCAGTATATATTTCCTGTTTGTCTTTATTTGAAGATACAGTCTGGTAGCGGGTTTTTTTTAATCATCTGCCTCAAAATTTTCCTTGATAACACGTACAAATTTCTTTGGAGGACCTGTTACTTTTGGCCTTTTCTGCCTGATTTTGCCTGTGGAAGGGCCCAATTGACTGCAAACCCAACATGTTTGCACACACTTAGAGGTCTGAGGAATCTCTCAAATGAACAGAGGTGGATCAGACTTGTAATGTTCTAACCAACAAACTGCCCTCTATAAGATGCTAAGAATATGGATTAGTGTCAGAAGCTCAAGTGAATAACCTGACTCAATAACCCTATGGGCATTTTTATGCAACACTTTCCAACTGCAACATAGTGTTTTGCTCACTATATTCTTCACAGCTTTATTCTATTCCCATTAGCTGGAGAACTACAGTGTTCTTCCTCCAAAATCAGGTATCACCAGCATGGCAATTACAGAATAATATATTGTTATAGTCTTTTTAGACAGAAGTAGGAAATAATTTTTACCATAAAATTAGGGATGCCAGGTTTTCATTGTTTTTATAAGGAATTTTACACTTAAGAACTCCTCAACCATTATGTTTACACTGCACCGCCTTTTTATCTGTGTACTTACATACTCAGGACTACATGGTATTTGTATCTATACTTGCATATACGTGTGTACATAAGTATACACACAGGTATCCCTGTCATGTATGAATAAAGTGCAAGTATACTTTTGCTATTATTGTATATAACACTACAAGAGCAAATCAATTGTACATATAATAACCTTACATTTACACTTTGCTTGACTAGGTCTCTATCTTACAAACAAGACTCTTCTGAAGACCCCACTGAGCAATAGCATGACAACTCTCTTCATCCGTTCTCAGTCTAAACATTAACATCTTTGCCTATATTTAGGGATTCACGTATTTGGCTCATATTATGACAACCTTCGGCATTTTCTTGGCCTATAGTTCATCTGGTTACTTATCATTCCACACTGCACCCTGCATGGTCAAACCGACACTGCAAAGCCACACCTCAAAAGGAGTCAGAAAGCAAACAGTACAGGTTGACTTTGTGAAGATACTGTCTGTGCAATCAGGGCTTATATTATAAATAAGTAATAAGACTCGTCTACTTACAGTGACAAATAAAAGCTTTGCACGTTAATGAAAAGTAAAGAAAGAGGTAAATACGTCTATGGGATGCTTCCACTCCCATAAAGCACATTTTTACATCAAGACAGATTCTCTATCTCATCTCTACTAGGATTTTAATTAAAGCTTTGATCTTGGAGTGGATTATTGGGGTTAATGATGTAACTTTTTCTGGAGTTGATGCTGACCACCTATAAGGAGTTAAAACCAACACGGCTTCAACTCTCATGTAATCCTGTATCCAGTTGCTCTCTTGGTGGAGAAGTACAGTGTCTGTCGTTAAAAATAAGGCCAAGTAGGAGCCAGGAAAGGTGTTAACCCACATCTACTGACAGTCACTTAAATGTTGACGTTGTTAACTTTCTCTTGTGCACAAAAAAATAAGAGGGAGGATCCACAGATCTGCCCTGTTTACTGTTAGTGATATCTTTTTTGGGGAGTGCTAAAGGCATGTGGTAATACTACCATCTGTCATTTCTTTCCCAAAAGAAGTGAAGCCAAAACCAGGTAGAACAAAGCATGCTGAGGACCAAAAAGCAGACCTCTTTTTATAGACAGGCCTTGGGAGAATATCACTGCTTTTCTCCCCAATTTGACAGCTGCCTGAAAGCACCATTTATCTATTATCAAGGGAAAAAAACTTGTCTGTAGACTAAAATTCCCTGACATTCTCATCCCAAATAGCAGTCAAACTGGAAGCCAAAACACACAGGTACTATTCCTCTTATCATTGTATATGACTTACAACAGAAGACCATATTGCTCTATCTCAAGAAGAAACAAAATATAATAGGCCCACAGGGAAAAGCAGCATAGTAGCGTAAGAGGAAAAAATAAATATATGATGACTTATCAGGCATGTAAAAATGGCAGTTCTGAGCACAGGAATGGTGCCACCCTGTAAAGTATGATATTATTCTGACAAACATCAGCAAGAGATAGTATAAAGTTTGTTTTACTTTCTAGCACTCTTAATTTAGAAGAAAAAGAAGTGACTTGCTCATTTGTTTGGGTTTGTTTTTTCCCTAAGTACCAGTCCTTCCAAATCCCCTTAGCATCAGAAAAATTAAGCCAAGTCTCACTCATGCTCATCATCTGAGATGCTACAGGCCAGATTTTGCTTTTCCTCTCTATGCCAAAAAAGGGCAGTTGCCTAAAACAGAATACAGGCAGCAATGTGGCATTTCAATCGTATCTAACTGTCCTGGCTTCCTACACTGCTTGGAAAATCACAATCTTATTGAAAGTATAGCAGCCTGCACATGTGCTTTCTCTTGTAGTCTTTTAATAAATTGCTCCTGAGATACGAAATAAAATATACAAAAAACCTAGATTGTCAGCTGGTACTATCAGAGAGCTAGTTATAAACGTTTTATAGAGTTCTTCTGTACAATACATATCAATACATATCAAGGGAGGGAAATGCGTATGTGTTTCCGAACACCCCCTCAAATTACAAAAAGCATCTTATGGCACTTCATTTCTGGGGAGAAAAAAAAAAAAAAGCCAAAACCAAACCAGTCAGCTTGAGCCTGAAATGGCTAGTTTTCCTACACCACCATTCAAACCTATGTACCAACTCCAAGCTGTGTTGAGTGGGCAGTC